CAATTCAAGTGCATTGAAATGATGTTTGGTACTTCAAACAAAGCGATAGACATCTATGGCCTACAAATTCGAAGCGTTGATGGTAAATTCACCTTGGAAGCCGAAGGAAACAAAGTCGACAGCAAAGAGTTGTTGACATTGGAAAACCCAAAATGCTCAGAAATCGTAGCTCAATTTTCTCATTTGAAGGGCGTAACCACAAATGATAACGACGAGAAAGCGATGTTGCCCGTTCATCTGATCCTTGGAACAAACGAGTACGCTAAGGTCAAAAGTTGGGCGCTCGGGAGAACCAGTAGCAGAATATACGAAGTTCGGCTGGACGATCTTGTCACCTGGAACGGAGTTGGATCTCAGCAACATGTTGTTAACGCAGACCTCCGCAATTGATTACGAAGAATTGTGCAAGTTAGACGTCTTGAGGCTAAAGGACAATCCAAGTGGAGACCAGGAAACCGTTTACGAAGAATTCAAAGAGCAACTAACCAGGAGTTCAGAAGGCTGGTACAAAACGAACTTGCCCTGGAAAGGAAATCACCCCCCAACGAACAATCACACTGGTAGTTTAAAACGTCTCAAAAATCTCGTGCGGAAGTTAGAGATACAAGGCGAGCTGGAGAGGTACAACGACATTATCCAGACTCAACTGAGTCAAGGGATCGTAGAACACGCGGACGAGGTGGTCAAGGACGGAAAAGAGTTCTACATTCTTCATAAAGCGGTCGTGCGCGAGAATGCGGAATCTACAAAGATACGTATTGTTTATGATGCTTCTGCAGGAGCTAATGCAAGCGTCCCCTCACTCAACGAGTGCCTCAAAATCAGCCCTCCACTACAGAACCAGCTTTGGAACGTGCTGGTACGAAATAGGTTCTATTCCGTGGCAATAGCTGGCGACTTAAAACAAGCATTTTTAAAAGTTCGCGTCCGAAGAGAAGACCGAGATGCCTTACGCTTTTATTGGATAAAGGATCTGGCAAGCAAACAAGTAGAAACCTTGCGATTCACTCGAGTACTCTTTGGTTTGGCACCGTCTCCATTCCTCTTGGCCGCAGTTATCAAAGAATATCTACAGCGATACAAAATGGTGATCCCGGAATTAGTAGAGGAGATAGAGCGCAGTATGTACGTGGATGATTTAATCAGTAGTGGGGAGACAACAGAACAAGCGTTTCTGGAAAAATGTTCTACGGAGATGCCTGCGACACGAAGATCGCGTGGGATAGGCCCCTACCAAGAGACTTACAAGCCAAATGGAAGAAATGGGAGCAAGGACTTCCAGAGCACATGAACGCGCCAAGAAATGTCGTCAAGCATGTAGGGAAGATAATGTCAATCGACTCACACACATTCGGGGACGCAAGCGGGAAAGGAGTTGCAGCCGCGGTTTATGCAGTGGTGGAGCAACCATCAGGCACGAATCGAGGCCTCGTGACGGCAAAGTCGCGGCTCGCGAAGAAAGGACTCATGATTCCCCGATTAGAACTAGTGGCTGGACATATGGCTGCGAACCTGTCCTGCGATCGGGAGAATATACAGGCTCCTCTACAGCTCAACCCCGAAGCCCCGACATTCAGGCCCAGGAGGGATGCAGCGGTAGCCGCTCGTTATCGCATTCAAGACGCGAACATTGATGCTGATTAGAGATATTTAGGAACACCGGACTGATATACTGGACTAACTTTCTGTTTCGTTCATTGAATTTCAAATTTTATCGAGTGTGCCATTCTAGTGTTTTTTCTCCGTTGAGAAAAAACAGGGGAGTGTGTGGGAGATTATTCAGCGTGAATTGATTTCCGGTTGACTTTTTGCGATAAGTGACAGATGATTGAACAATAGGATCATATTATATATTTAAAATGAGAGAGACCAGAGTGTGAGACAGAGAACGGTGAGAGAGAGAGAGGGAGATTAACTTGACTTTATAAAATAAAACGTGAAGTTTCGGAACATAGCAGATTCTTTAGTCTCATTTCCGATACCATGATACGCAAAAGATAACTTCCGTGGGTATCTGTAACGTAAGGACTACTTTTCGCTGTCCTAATGACAGGCGACAGCCAGCTAAGGCGACACACCGAAGTGCATTTATTGCCTCTATATTAGATCAATTTGTTGAGTTGCTTATTTTTCTTTTTTCGTAACGAGAGCTCTAATAGTTTACGGGACAGTAGTTTGCCATATAAAACTGAGAGGCAGAAAGAGAAAGCTTTTTCCTCTAATATACTAAGTGATAAGCAAAATTTCAGTGTGTACTTAAATACATATCGTTAATCTAGTGTATACTTACTAAATGTAACATAATTTCTATTGTAATCCACAAAATCGTGCCACCAATCAGTTTTCACCATTTTTGTCGTTGTTAGTGTTGACAGAAAATAAAAAAATTAAAAATTAAAAATTAAAAAATAAAAAGAAATGACAAAAAATCTTAAAAAAAGGAAAGGTAGGCATGTTCTTTTGAGTGAAGGTTTAGGTCAAGGGTCCCGGGTAAACTGTCGAGGGTTCAAAAAAATTTCCAAACTGATTGATTGATTAATTTCTTTGTTTATGTAAAATTCATTGTTATTATTATTACTTGTATCTCGTGGTCGTAAGATTTCCCGCCTCTCTTCAAGTGACAGAAATGCCAGGATGTTAGCTTGCACGTTTGCACTCTTCAGCACTTTCTCGCATTCTCCTATTTCACTTTCGCGTGTTTCAGTGAGTTATTCGTAGTAGAGAGATTTCTACAGCCTTCTCCTTTATAAATAATCTTTGTTTTAAGTCTTTTAATATTTCCATTAAGAAGACTTTCGACTTTGCTAAGATTGCGTCGCTAAAAATCCCCCTCCCGCAAAGTGAAACCCCGACCTCACGAACCTCTACATAACGTGGTACTTTGTATGACGAACGATATTCTTCGCCCCACTATACGAAAATTTATGATTAAGTACCTCGATATTTTTAGCCCCTTGGGCTCATGAGAGGAAACGCGCGAAAGGCGAAAAGAAAAGAGCGGGAAATTTTGCGACCACAAGATAGAAAAAAAAATTTTTATTTTAAACTATAAATACGTGATTCACAGAACTCCGCGAAATCCACCGGAGAAAACTTACAACGTTATAGACGAAACTTACATCGTATATCTAAAAAAGCCGCGTAAAAATACGTCTGTGACACAGGTTGGGGGAAGAAAAAAAATGAGACACTGATAACGACGCTGAAACGGTGACCATAAATAACCCAAGTTCTGTTCTGCGTGAGAGAAGTGCGAATGTCGACAAATTTATAAACCTCGCTGCGCTCGAGGAAAATTAAGTAATAATGAACAATTAAATAAATAAACCGCTGACATATTTTGAACCCTAGCCCCTTGACATTTTCCCCTCGACTCTCGGCTCTAAACCTACACTTTGTTCCTTTCGAAGCATTGTCAAAAAGTGAACAACACAATGATGCATAAACTCCTGCAATTATTAGAAAGGACATAAATTGCGGATTTTAAGTACATACTCTTGTGCACAGTTGACTGATTACATGGATAACTCAATGTAAAAAGTTAATTTATAAAGACAATCGAAATGTTCCCCATGATAGACAAAAAGTTAGATATGAAACAAATAAAAACACAGTCAATAGTACTAACATTGTTTATCGTGGCTCCCATGTCTTCGAGAGAACATAAGTCCGAAAGCGACTAAAACGATCAGAATGAAAATGGCTAGTAGCACTAAAACAATCATAACCAGGTTAGGCTTGCTGGCATGTACATCGTCTGTTGAGGGATATTCAGTGACAGTATTCCCAAACGTGACCCCTTAATAAATGGATAAAAGAAGAGGATGTTTCAGATAAGACATTGACCGTTGATTTTAGCTCAGGCTAGACATTTTCGCTGCCTTCCCTTTCAACTTAACTTGAGCTCTTTTTGTCATTCTATTTTTTCGGAGAAGGTGGAAGCGAAAACCTTTAAACGCATGGACATAAATCATTTTAGATTTATTCATTCTCAAAGGTGAGAGTTGACTTACGATGTGATTTCCAACCCCCCGTAGAAATATCAAAAGTGGGTCCGTGGTTTAGAGTCGATAGTGGTTTACCTGAAGAGGATTCTGAATGGGTTGTTGTCGTAGTTTTGGATGTTGCTTCGACCCGAGTAGTATTCGATGTCTTGGATTCATCAGTCGGTGCTAAAGAAGAACATTAAATCTTCTTGTTAACATTCTCAATACAAATTCAATGTTACTCTCGTTTATAAAAATTATAGAAACACTGTAAAGTCAATAAAACGACGACGACGACGATGATGATGATGATGATGATGGTGTTAACTAAAAACAGAACAGAGAACAGAACAGGGAACAGAACAGTACCGCATGAAAATTGAAAAACCGGTGGTACTTTTTTGTCTATATATTTTTATTATTATTTACTTTTCTCATAAGGTCTTTTCCATACATATACCTGTGCTTTGATGATTGCCTATCTATTTTAAAGGGAAGCGCAAAGTAACAGTAACAGTCCGGTACGAATGTATGTTAATATGGAAAACATACCTGAATAAATGAATAAATTGATGAATAAAAATAGTTTATAACCAAACATATTAAAATAACATATTAAAATTGTGCAAATACTCATAGGCAATAATAATGAGAATGCGCGCAACAATGATAAATGAAAACAAAAGAGAAAAAAGAACCAAAAGAATGCACATCCAAAACCGGTCCTTTTATTTATTTATTTTTTTGTTTAGGTTAGGGTTTGTCTGTTCCTTTCTATTTACCTACATGGATAAATTTAAAGGATATATAGAAGGAGTTTCAAGGAGTAAGTTGGGGGAAATCATGCCATTTTAATTTATTTGTACCTAACTTCGGCACTGATTCGTATCATCGTTTAGCCTTCGCTGATTTTTTTTTTTTTTTTATCCAGACAAGAATAAGAAGATATACTTATCATTGTAGTTTTTTGATTGCCAATTTATAGAATCTTGACTTACCTCCTCCACCATTAAATTCACAAATGAATCCTGCTCTGGCTTTGAGTAAAGTACAGCTGATATCATTGTAACGCCAATAGTTTTTAGAATGATGTTTGTACATTTCTGCGCAGTTCTCTTTACCATTATCGTTGTTAGGTTCTCCAGTTGCCCAGGGCCATTCTTTTCTATTGGATGCATTCACTGTGCTGTTATCACTCAACCATCTCCACACTCCAGTTGATGTATCTTTCCTCAAACCTATGAAGTATTCAGTGGTCTTCTTTGTTTGGATGGTTTGATTCAGGAAGTTCCATTCCTCACGACTCTCAATAGAAACAAGGTCATATCCAGACTGTTCATTACGAATTTTTTGGCTTCTATCCCAATCGTACCAGCTTCCATTGCTCCTATAGAAAATGTACCTGGAACCACTGAAGTTCTTCATGCGCCCTAAATGTAGAATTAATCAAAGACACACCCTATCCATTAAGCGATAACACCTTGGGGGCAACTTTAGAAGCAGAAAGAAACTGCTTTAACACTAATATTCTTTGGAGTAAAATAGCATCCAAACCCAGCTTACGTGAATTCAAATGTTTTCGTGTATCAACAGTCCTTTTTGGTCGATACGGGTATGGATCTAAAAAAGGAATTAATTCATTGTTTTCTTTGTTTTGTGTTTTGTTTCTAAGTTTTTGTTGTTTGGTTGTCTTTTGTCTAATATGCGATGAGTTTCATACGAAGAATATTTGCTCCACCTTCTACATTTTACATATTCTTCGTCATGTCACGAGCGTGGGACAAAGAAAAAATTCTGAGTCCCCATGAGGAATGGAACCTAATATGTTCATAAGACACGCGTCCTGCATACTGCTAGAATCAGCAATATTATAGACATTGTACTTTGTATTTTGTTTCCAGTTTCTTTTTTTATTTTTAGTTGTTGTCTTTTGCTTGGAATGCGATTAGCAATTAGTTTCATGCAAGGGATATTTGCTCCATTTTTAAGGTCCCACTCCTTACATAATCCTTGATACATTTCAGTTTATTTTAATGTTGGATCCTAGGTGCCAGTGTGTAGAACAAACACAATGCCTGTTGTGCACTAATTTTATTGAGCTCTATTTTTAACTAGCTCACTTGAATTACACAAAACCTTAATTTCGACTTTGTTTACCAAATAATAGCTGCATCCATTGTAAATATGAAATGGTTTCGTGGTGTCTGAATACTTTGCGATAACTAAAGTGTGGGGGGCATTATATGTCCGGCCAAGCACAATACTATGTTATCCATTGAGCAAAGAAAACATGGTGCATCCTTTTTAACTCGTGAATTGCGCGCATGCGCAAGAGCGAGTTATAGATACGATGTGGGGAATGGCATTCGCTCGCTCGCTCGCTCGATTGGTCGATTCCTGTAAACTTTTTTTAGATTTTAGGCTTTTGAGTGCATTTTATAGTTTTTGGCGAGCAATAAACAGACGAAATGGCGACCTTTGTAGCTAAGAATAGTGGTGGGGTGAAAAAGAAGCCAATGATAATCTTAAAAGAGTTTTTTTTTTCGTTTTAGTTTCAACAAGCGGCGCCAGCGACTGGCAGGCATGCAAGGATTCACACTGAAATGACAGAACAACCTTCGTTTTTCATAAAATTGTAATTTACAATCCTTGAACTTGAAAACAATCTGAAGATTCATTGAAAATATCACTCACTGCGAAGCGCTCGGAGTTTACAGATGTTCAAAAGCTTTTTCTGTTATGGCGTGAGATTGAGGACAAAATTGTTCATTGCGTTTCGTCGCGTGTGTTTTTCCTGTGTGAAGCAACAGAAGATGCCGGCCACTGATGAAATAACAAGTTAACACGAAAATCAAATAACACCTAAACAAACAATTTTAGCTACCGATTTTCAGTGAATTTTTAAAGAACAATTTTCTTTTAAGTTTCAAGACAATTTGAAGATTCAACATACATACAACGTACTAAAATGCGAAAGTTACACACCACAAAATTGATAAATAGACCTGAAATGAAATTCTATCTTGTTATTGATCATACGTTGCCTAGCACGTGACTTAAATCTACCCAGGCGGAGATCCAAAATGACGGTGGCAAGCTTGGCTTAGTTATATCACTCAAAACTCGTTCCCGTTTGTCTCATTTGATAAAGAGGGAATCGTTAATGTTTTTATTAAGACAGTATTGCCTTGATTTTCTAATATTTACAACGAAAGACAGTAAATTTCACTTTTCACCCACATTTACTTCCAACCTTTTCTTTTGAACCAGAAACAAAAATGATAGACGTTTAAAACACGACATCATCCACCTTGTCAAATGTAATAGCATGATCATTTCAATTGTAATGCCTTCTTATCCCAACGTTACTTTGTTTCTATGCTACATTAGCGAACACTGAACTACTGCTCGTACTCTAGATATGACAATCAACCACAAAATTCCCTAAACCAGATAACGTTAAACATAATCTAAAAAATCATGTGTCAATTCACGAGTTTGCTCACAGAGCACTTTGATTTCTTTTAACAAGCAAGCATACTTAATAATCAGCTTTCAAGAAAAAAAAAATTTAGAAAGAAAAACATATAGATGTTAGTCTGAACATTGTGCTTACCAGCATCGCTCTTTGTGTAAATGGTTCTAGTTAGCACGAGGATAGCAGAATATATCGTAAAACACACTCTGTCCATTTCACCAAACAACTGTCTCCCACAGTGTGCTCAAGCTTTAGAAACAAAATTGTTTGCACATCGCGGTATATGTATATCAGGCCCTTCAGCTTCGCACTTGTAAACAGGTAATTTCGTCCAAGTCGAGCCAAAACAAGACTGTCAAAACCTAACGCAAGCGCGTGTATCAATCACGAATGTATTTTTACCTTTTGTCTGACGCCTCCACCCTTAGTATTCTTTTCGATATTTACTGCTGACCTAAAGAAACAGTTTCTCTCATTTTTGTGAAAGTTATTTACATTTTAAATATGATCTTAGTTTTCCTCTATGAAAAGCTTATAAAAACTGATTTTTCAGGTTAGAAGTCAGTTCTCGTAAATCAGCTTTCTCTCCTTTCCTATAATTTCCTTCAGAGCTTTATTAGCATAAACACTGTTGTGTTTAGTCTGAAAAGAGTCTGAGGTTTCACACTACTTTTAGCACTTTTTTATCCAATTATAAAGTAATCTGTTGAATAAAAATGAAAGTTCCGTTTAAGCACTGACAGAAAGAAACGAGAGTACTTTCTATGTAGACGTTTTAATGACGTTTATGTTATTACTAGCCCTTTTTTATTTTAACACACACACACATATACATTTATATATTTTTCTTCTTTGAAATTTTCAGAGGGAAATGTTCAATTACTAAATCAAGGATGGCAGTTTAGCTGAAAAACGTTGCATTTGCAAGATTTTCGGCGTGAATTGCTTGAAATGCTGTGATATGATCGAGATAAACGAGTCATCGAAGTGTTGGGAAGCCACACAGTTGTAGTGCACTCGATTTGAACAATATTTGGATGAATTTTGTTTACAGTGGATGATAAATTATAATGCTAAGAATGATTGACATGGGCCATGATTTAAGGCTTTGTAAAGAAACTTCCTGCTCCCTTTTAATTCAGAAGTTACCAAATGCGTTTCATGGTAAGATCTGAAGCGCGTGATACCCATCTTATAAAGAAATTCGTTAAATATAGACCTTTGAATTTTGAACTTCTCAGGAGAGACGTGAGACAGATTTGAATACTTCATAAACTTTGTTATCAGTATTTATGAAAGGTGAGACGGAAACAGGGCACAATTCAAGTATGTTACTTCCCCGGGTTTTTTATTCTTGACGTGCAAAGCTTAGATGCAAGTCGATTTTCCGTAAGAATTTCTAGTTTAATGTGACTCATGATGTCAGTCCATTCTCAGCTTGTTACGGTATATATTACCAATCAGGGCAATTGCTGTTCAACTGAATTTTCAATTTCCATCAGGAATGCCTTGTTTAATTTTTAGGAAGTGTTGATTCGGTAGGAAAAAATCTTTGTCTCTGTGTTATAGTACTTTTGCTTATTTCATTTTGTATCCGTCGATGTCATTTACATATTTAATTATGAACTTGAAGGATCAAAAATATAATAATGATAATAATACTGCACAGCAAAAAGCGCCAAACAAGAAGACTGATTGGTTTAATTATTACCCTAAATGTGACTCTGATGTTCGCTCTGGTGTTTGGTTTGGTCTCTGGTCTGATTTGGTTTGTTGTTTCATTTTGTCCATACACAGAGTCGGTATAAGCCACTGGAAAAGCAAATCCTGTCACTGAAAGAGAAACATTGATTATGTAGAGCTATGAATAACTTGAGACGATCATAAGTGTACTTCAATAATTTAACCACTCAAACTTTTTCAAATCCTGCGCTGTCATCTTTTAATATACCCAAGCCATCCAATGTTCAAAGCCGTTTCTTCTGTTTCAATTCGTGTAGGGCGTGATGAAATAGTTCTTGCCAATGAAGTAATTCAAGGAAATATCTTATATTATGTAATCAGCAAGGATGTACTGAGTAATGAGCAAAAAAGACCAGAGATACGAGGGAACGTATCATAGATGACCTGAACAAGTATATTTATATCACCTACTATATGAAAGTCATGTGTAGTACCTCGGAACCCTGAAAGGCTTCCCAAATATTCACAACTTGCGAAGATAATAAGTAGATACTAATTATTCAAGGCCTTCAGGTGTAACTTGTACTGCGGGAAACGTCTAATAGACCACTGACTTTAGCATTTTGTGTACGATCGAGCCCTTGCTTCATCCAGTATCGAGTAATTCTTTGGATGTTAACAGGTACGGTTTTTGCACAATTACACGATTTTGACTTTTGTTCTTTAACCACAAGTTATATATACCGTTCAGGACACATCAAATTAATGAAAGCTAGATTTCTTGGGATTAATTCAGAATGACACATTCGTTAATTTGATCGATTGATTACTATGGCTGACAGGTGTCAGGAATTAAATTTGGAGTCAGAAAAAACAGATTTGCGACTTCTAACTTGTTCAATCGAGGTAATGATGAATCAAGTAATCAATCACATGATGACAACTCAAGGGAGGTGTGCCTCAGGGAACTAACCTAGGAGTGATACTTTTCACAATAATGACAAACAATCTTTAGGTGATTGGCATTTGAGAGTCAAGTTTGTGGATGACACGTCTGCCATAGAAATACTACCCAGGAACTCTATCAGTCTGCTCAATTCGATGTTATCTGACATTCACAAATTCTCTATGGATCACAAAAAGAGGCTAAACCCTATTAAATGTAGAGATGTTAATTAGCTTTATGTTATATCCTAACTTTACTCTCACACCATTAGTTGTTGGTAACAACTGTATAGAACGTGTATCGACTTGCAAGACTCTA